ACCACAACTACTTAAAACGATCACGGACTCTGTAAATGTCACTATTGTGCGCTTTTCAACCCGTTCCCAGTTTGAGCTGAAATAAACAGTTTACTCTCAGGAGGCAGCACAATAAATTGTTAAATTATGTTTATCTTGTTTTCATTATTGTCAGTGGATGAATTTGGGATTGCCAATTAAAACTAGACGTCGGTAAATTAAACACAGGTTGAGTGATTGAATAGTAAAACACATTTTCACCTTCAGCTGGAGCAGATGAACCTCTGCATACAACACTTTCATCCAATGACAAAGCTAAGATTTACGTTCCCCGCATAGAACCTGTTCAGACTTAGGAGTAAGAGTGGATGATGTAAGCAGAGAATTTTACCCTCACTGAATATATGCTTGAGAAAAAATTCCAGTGACTAATTTGCATATTGCTCAAACTTGCAATGACGTTTTTGAAAAAAATCCAGATCCAGAAGAACAAAAACATTTTTAGACAAACCACACAAAATAATTTATAACTTTTAAGTTGCCAACTACCTCCACTACAGTTATGTTGATCTTCTGTGTGGTGGCGAGCAGGAAGAGCTCTGTGGTTTGAGGGATCTGTCACTGAAGGAAGCAGCCTGCTCAGGGCTGGAAACGCAGCATTATGAGTGATGCAACAGAGCAGAAAACCCTAACAATAACTCAAATGGTACGCTAAGGCAGAGTAGAAGTAAGAAAAACTAATTATTTTAAAGCATCACAAGCTCAGGACCTTCATGAATGTTAACTGTGCAACACAATTCACATCGGGACGTAATTATAAAGCAGGATTTACGAATTTAAGAAGTACATTATACACAATCTTAATTGAAAATAAATCCAAGCATGCAATTCTGCTTTCTGATTTCATACTGTGAGGAACTATGAATATTAGTATCTTATAAAAATTTGGCTTTGTCAAAATTCTGTTGCAACATTGAAAAGTGACCAAATGCGTCATTTCCTCATAGCTCACATTTCAAGTAATTACACAAGTATAAACATTAACAGGGAAATTTTAGTCTTCCCGTAAGTTATCTGTGAGGTTTACACTAAGGAACTACATGTGAGGTCTGTTCTGCTGCTATGTGGACTGAAGGTAACACTGTGTTATCAGAGGTGTTCTGACTCTACAGCTACAGATTGAATCGTACTGATAACCCCCGTCGACTTGCCGCGTATCATTCCACCAGCAACTCTTTGGGCCTCTTCGAGCACCATTGCAATTGAAACATTGATAGTGATGGGGCTCAATTACAAATCGGGTCCTGGAGCATTTCTCGTCCTCATTGACACCAGTGAACAAAGGCTATTAATCCACACAAGGGACAATGTGAGTAACAAGTCCTGTCCGACAGCTCCTTTGGCCTAGTTTCCTTTTCAGATTGGGCTCTGGTGTGAACCGAGACAACTGTGCTATGATTGTGTAAAGATGGGTATAAAGAGCATCTTGACTGCGTGCCCAGTGGGATCAATCTTGTGACACAGTGGGGCGGTGTCTGGGGGCCTTTTTACACCAACTCTATGCGCTCTTTTATCACAGCTGCTTGTGTTTATCTGTTTCTTGTTGCAAGTTGTTTACTTCTTACTTTTCTAAGCCGATATTCCTCTCATGCCTCTCACAGACATGACGATAGAAAAAAATAAGCGGCGGACCTGGAAGGAAATCTGTCAGCTCACACCTGTAGAGGAATGCGATAAAATTAAGTGTATTCAACCATTTCATTTGCTTTTTATTCCACTTTCTCCATCTTTTTCCCATTTCTCTGTTAGCTCAAGCCTGAAGACATGTCCAGACATTACAGTTGAAGGAATGCCTGGAATGACAGGAATTCTGGGGCATTCCCATCCCGACACAGCCAGCTTGGAGTGAGAAAGCCACTCCCTGGTCTACAGAGAAAGCAGAATGAAAGAGCTAATCGACCGTCAGTCATGACGCCTCTGGCTTTCAACTGGGTTTTGCTAGAACCAGAGGACGAGAGTCAAGCCCACACTTTGAGAGAAACGCAGGAAAACTGTAAGGCCTAATACTGCCCACTGTTCCTGCACAGGAACCTAGTACCACAGACCGGCTGAGTGATGCCTATGCGCTCTGTGTATGAACAAAGGTCTGGTGATGGAATGCTTCAAGAATCTGAACTGCCCTGTATTTAAAGGTGCAAAATGTAGGTTAACTACCACGTGTGTGCTCAAGTGTGATTGAAGCGGGAAAACAAAGCTAATTCAGCCAGTGAGGATAAGAAATAAAAGGTGAAAATGGATATTCCGCTGTTAAATAAAAGCAATACTGAAAACTGCTGAATTGGACTAAAAACTAGCACTGACATGCTTTTTTTTTTCAAAGATCAACTTTAAAAAGATTGGATGTGGCACAGTAAACAGAGAGTGAGTCATCTGACAGATGAGAAAAAAGCAAAGCTAATAGAGTTGAATGGATTTCAAAGAGCAAGCCGACTTGAACAGAAACGGTGCATAACGGGCACATCTGCCAGAAAAAAAACGGGGAAAAAAAAAACGCAAAGCTACTCTGTTGAATACAAGAGAGCCTCAAAAATAGCAGGATGACGCCGGCAGAGAAAGAGAAGCCTGTAATTCAGCAAGGAGCCTATATAGTGATTAAGTCCCATGTAAAAAATGCAAACACACACACCACCCACTCTTTCTGTTTCTGTCGCAACACTTCCTGTCAGAGCAACTGCTTCCAAACGCAACGGCGAGAAGAAAACCCTAGAATCAGACATAACCCTCGTACCGATCAAGGAAATCAAAATTTGCTCATTCTAACCAAAAACAGGAAAGAGTAATCCTCACATCTTCCTTTTAGAACTAAATTCCACACCTCCGGTCATGAGGTCAAAGAATATAAATGTTTGTGGCGACTGAGAGAAAGATGATCAAACAAACAAGGCCCCTCTCGCAAACCGGTCACCAGTCCAACAGCTCGACTCACATAGGTCACGAGGCCACCATGAGCAGCAATACCACATCCCTACCCCCCTTAACCATGGCAACCACACCACATGATCATCTCCAATGACCAACTACCACTGACAAGCCGGGCCATCTGCAAACCTGATTTCCCTTTGGCTGCTAAGGAACCCCGACAGCTTGAAAATATACTAATTCCAGTGCATGAAATCCAGTGGCAACAAAGCCATCTTCTGGATCAATGTCACAGTAACATATGGGCACATGAGAGAACCAATCAATTCAAACCACAAACACGGAAACAACACGGGCGTGCTGTTGCGCAACAAAGAGAGCCGGAAGTGAAACTTTCACCTCTTTTGCTTCCTACAAAGTGAAAGATAAAAAGAGAGAGGAACTCAACGGGGCTTCTTTCTCTCCAAAGGGCAAATTCTTCTGCTATCAGATGTTTATGCCACAGCACGCCGGTCACAGAGGAGGGTGTACGTTTACAGTAACTGGGGCATGGCAGTAAAATCCTCTCCCCCTTTTTCCAGTACCAGTCTGAATATATTATCTCAAACACAAAGTTTGATTTCCGCCCCGGTTCTCAGCTGATCACACCATCTGCATCAGGACATCTCACATAATGCTCCACTGGCCTTGACTTCACAACCATAACACAGGCTGGAAGTGGCCACGGCTTGTGTTGGATGTGTGAAAGACCTGGGAGCCACTACCTAACGGCCGCCTTGAGGCAAAGCTCCTTTGCACACAAACCAGCTTCGGGCCAAATGTACCGGCAATACAAAGCTTTTGCTCCTCATTTCAGCATCCCGGTTTTGATTGAAACCGTATCGCCAGGTTCTAACACAACAATATGTGATGGCACCTGTTGAATGTACACTGATCCCCCACCACCTTTGCCCTGCAGTGACTCGCCAAAACCACAGAATACACATGATACCACTGATTACACCGGCAGACACAAGTCCCAAACAGCGGTCCTCACATCCTCCGATAACCACACGAGACACACAACACAGCATACACAGATTGGAGCTGGAGACCCGGTCCTCTCACACAAGCAGGACTCTATAAGCGAGGCTTGTGTATGTTTGCTCTGTACCCCCTCCGGCCACGCTGCGGTCCACCATCCAGCCACGTCTAGGTAATCCCTATTGGTAAACAGCAGCAGGGCAGGAGCCTGCTCGGTCCTGCCCGCCTCTCCACATCACACCACTGCACCCACACACACTGCGGGCAAGGCAGAAGCTCCGGGCTGACAACACTGCTACACCCACACGCTCAGAAGAGACGTTTCCTCTGAGCTGCGTTAACTGGCCTCGTCTGGTGGGATGCCGAGCAGATAGAGGCCCTTTGCTGCCACGGCGTTGGTCGGTCTCACCCAAGAGATCGGACTGACAAAATGTTTTTTGCGAGCTTTAAAAATTACCTTTGCGCTCATCCCTGCTGTCGTGGAGCATCGCAGGCACTCGGCCAGCCTGAGAATAACACAATTCCGACACCACCGACATGTAAACACTGGCAAAAACAGCAGGGGGGAACTATTCAATTCTTTTCAAACTCGTCACACACACACGGAGAAAAACACCCTGTGTTGTTTTCTTTCAGTTTGGTATATTACATCACTGTGGTTTCAACTGGAGCCACAATGAAAGTTCTGTTGTGTGAAAAACAGCAGCTTGGCCAGGCAGCAGGGGAAAGACAAAAAGTGGATTTTAGAGCAAAGGGAAAGGGTGCTTTCATGTTTCTTCTATAACCACGAGAAACACCCTTTGCATAAAAGGTGTTCAGTGATTTTTTTTGTGAGTCCAACAGGAAGAAAACAGCAGCATAATAGCAGCGATTTTCCACCGCAGTCCTGTTTCCTGTTAGCATGTGGAGCACTATACATCCTGAACTATAAGGAAACGTGTGCTTTGGATGACTAAGACTTAAGTCAGGTTACCATGAACTGTGAACATTCAACTTTTCAACGACAGTTTTTACCGTTTACACCATGTTCAGCTTCAGCTACCTCCTGTAGAAGACTTGTAAATAATGTCAATAACAGATCAAATATGGAAAAATAAAACACAACCAGGTCTCTCTTTTTTTAAAAATGCCATTTGTATTAAAAGTCTTTTTGTTTTTAAAACAGACAGCCCACTGGTAAACGGCTGGTCTGAAATTAAACTTACAATCAGGTTAGATTTGTCAACAGTAAATATTCACATATCCTGTTAAAAACCAAAAAATTAACAGAACAAACAGAATTCCTTTGATTCAGGTGGCCTGGAAGGTAAAGTGATGTGAACTGTTCCTGTACCTGTGCATTTCAAGATATAGATCTGGCCAGACCAAGCAGACATTGCAGTATGCAAACAGTTCAAAAGGCCAATGTAAAACATTTAAAAAAAACACCATTCCACTAGGAAAAAAAAAAAAAAGTAGTACTTTGTTTTTTATGCTGTCTGTCTCCACCATTACAAGATTATCCAGTAGAAGAGTTCACTAGCTTGTAGATTGCCACGTTGAAGGGTTCTTTTGGTGATACATGTAGGTTGGCACATTATCTGAACAGCTGATTTGTTTTGGAAAGGCACTCGACACAAGGGCGATGATGTCAGCGTCCCCATATCACGTCAGCTAGGGTCCTGTCACACATCGAGGAAAACGTCGAGAAAATAAAAAAAAAAGGAAAAAAAGTGGCTTTTGTCAAGTTTACTCCACCAGATATGTGGTTTTCTTCTGGCTTTGGAAAAAAGAAAGAGGACTCAGTGCCTCAGAGCGTTGCTCCTAACTGGGTTAGGGCGCCCAAAATTTGACCCCGCAACTGTGCAGTTACTTAACAAAATATATTCTATCTCCCTGTCTTCTTATACACAAATATCCATTTAAGAGTTTCTCTAAGTTTTACTCTCCGTATCTTTTCCACTGGAGTTTACTTCCATTCGGGAGTACAGTTGGAACTGGCAAAGGGGGGGGGGGGTCTGTCTCGGTGTTGACATCCATAGTGGACACTGATCGTGCAGCAAAGATACGCCAACCCAACAGAATTCCTGATGAGTGGACCCCTCCCTCTGTCTCGGTTGCTCCCCTCCTCCTCCCGTTCCCCTGCAGCATTCCTCCCTTCATTTTCCTCCAAGGCCAGGGTGAGACATGAAGAAGAGCTCAACAGTACAGACTTGCTGCAACACACTGAACACACAAGACACGGAAAAGGGTCATGAATAAACACCAGCATTGAAAGATCTTTTTTTTTCTTTTACAAGTACTTTGCTTGATATGGCTGTTGTGGGCTGTGTTCCAAAAAAAAAAACTTGCTGATCCCTGAACTTAGGCCACATTAAGAGCTCTGGAATCTCCCAACTCCTGTTAGCCACATTGTGAAAAATACCCCTTTGGCAGCTGTTTAACAGTGTCCAACCACAAAGTTTGTAAATCCAATTAAATCAGTCATAGCTCATAGCTCCAGTTCTGCAAATCAGCCCGACACTTCCCCAGGCTATTCAGCAAAACTAACTTCTATGAGTGCACAGCTGATGATGGAAAAACTAAATATTCTCAAATGTAAAAATACAGTCATCCTAAGGAATCTCTACTTTCTGTGCTACTTATACTACTCTATAACAGGACTGTGAGTTAGACAGCTCAGTGTCAACTTTATATTTTCTGTGTATGTTGTATGAACTTACCATTGCAAACTTAAAACTGAGCAAAGGATAAAACTTTACGATTGTCATTTTTGCTTAAAGGATCACACAAGACGAGCAGCACTGGTCGTCGCCGTTTGGTGTCGAGGCATAGTTCATCTGTCGGACTATCTCTGCAAACAGTTCGTCTACAGAGCTTTTATTTTTGGCTGAAGTTTCCATGAACGGGCAGTTCCACTCGTCCGCCAGAGCCTTCCCCTCGCCGGACGAGACCTCCCTTTCCCCCTCCAGGTCCACTTTGTTTCCGACCAGAATCATCGGCACCCTCTCGTACCTTTTCACCCGAATGATCTGATCCCTCATGGGTTTGATATCCTGGAAACTCTGCTGGTTGACCAGGCTGTAGACCAGGATGAAGCCCTGCCCGTTTTTGATGTAGAGGTCTCGCATGGAGGCGAACTGCTCGGTCCCCGCGGTGTCCAGGATCTCCAGGACGGAGGGAGAAGAGTCCACTTCGATCTCCTTCCTGTAGAAATCCTCTATCGTCGGGTCGTACTTCTCTATAAAAGACCCAGTCACGAACTGGACAGTCAATGCGGATTTACCCACTCCACCGGAGCCGAGAACCACTACTTTGTACTCTCTCATGGTTCTCAAAACAGCTAACAGTCCTGCTACCGCTCCGCTGTGAACCCGCTAGCCGTCTCGCTGGGTTTCAAACCGCTCACCGCTGCGCCACCGCCGGCAGTTTTCTACGAGCTTTTGTATGTCGATGGAAACGGGGCGTGGCCGTCAACTATCGCCGTTCGGCAGGGCGCGGGTGTTTCGGAACCACGCTCAGCATTTATGCAGAAACATGCTGAGTTCCCGACGATAACGCGGCCGGTTCTTGTCAAAGCTTCCCCCCGTTTTCGTTCAAGCAGACACCGTGTGTCGGTTGCTCTCTTTGCGAGTTAATTCATGAACCATGCTAAATTGCCACTTCCTGTTTGCACTTTCAAAGTGAAGGTACTTCCAGTGCACTGTTTCAAACAACGACGACCTAATTGTGTTACTGGAACTTGCTTTGAATTTTTTTATTTAAAAAATATGATGATATAGTTTTTTCTTGTATATGTAAGTTATGACTTATTATTTTTAAATCATGCTACTATTGTTTTGAAGGTTGACTATGACACCTCCGGTATACTACTTGCTAACTAACACAAACTTGTCGGCGCCACGAGCACTCTGAACTTCCTGTTCGCACTCAGCACGCTTTCTGCGTCCTACGTCATTCCCTAAATATTCTCCAATGTTTAGTTAAAGGTGCAGTGAGGCTGATATCACAAAGTCAGCGTTGCTTCTGCCCACAGTACTCACGCAGACTTGCCACACCTTAGTTTCGACATCAGTGATCCTCGAGCTTACTGCCGCTTGACTCATTGAACAACTTACAGGAAATGTCGATCCCCTGTAACTAAGTAATTAATTGTATGATTCGTCTTTCCACCTGAAGACGTCAGATTACTTTCAGAATTATAAAACAAAAAAGAGTCCAACTCCAATGTGGGCACAGGACTACAAAGCTTTAGAACATGCAGAATATTTTCTAATTAAATGGTAAATATATTTTTTCAGATCTGAAGGATTCCTCTTCTTATCATTTCTAAGAAAATAAAAGGACGACACAATACTTAAGGAAATAGATTAAATAACAGAGTGTGACTCACCATTCATGTAATGCATGACTCCACATGTGACACATAATGAAGGCTGGCTTTTGTCTGCGTGCTTATTTTTGTTTCTTGTTGCAACCCAGTATCAGATTATTCTTTATCCTCGTTCATGAACTTTGAGCCACTTTTGTATAGAAATGTGTAAAGTGTGTCTCTCACAGCCACTGGAGATTACTGTTTAAGTATTTAAACTGATTCTTATCAGTGGCAATAAAACCTGTGGGGCAAAATCCAAATGAAAAATATTTGTGGTAAACTTTGAATTAAATAAATTATTCAAATAATCACATTTCTTTGGATCTCCAGTTGCCTACACTGTGCCTGTAAGCAGAGAGCAACGATGATCAAACTACCTTTCAGACTTCATGACCACAAGGGATGGTTGGGAAAACTTGAGAGGATCAATAGAAGTTCAATTCAACCGTAAATCCTCATCAGGCAGTGATGCAGCATACACACATACCATGTTATTAGAGTCATTATGTGTCACTGTTATCACTGATGCTGAATTTCATGTTCCTAAATGTTCCTATATTTTCACACAGATGCAATTACAAGCGGATACAAAACAGGAAGTCAGCAGATCTTGCTAAAGGGTTTACTTTTGGTGACAACAGGTAAGACATGTGGATTGAGTAGTCATGGGTTTTTTTCCAATTGCCTTGCAGCCGGGCACTCCCCAAATCTCATTAAGAAACAAGTTAGAGCTTATGTGAAGACAGCCAGCTATCTGCCCCCATGGTGAGTGAGGGGTAATGTGAGCTAAGACCTTGTGATGTGACGTGTCACATCTGTGAGAATAATCACCCTGAATGGGGAGTGGTCTTTCCTCCCCCATCAGACAGGAGTTTGTTTTCCCAGACTACTGATAATTAGATATATGCTCACTTTGACAATTAATGATATGCCCCCGGGTGAATACTCAAAAGCAAAAGACCAAAGAATGAAATGATCATTTTACTTAGTTGCCTTGGAGTCATTGAGCAATATCATTTCACATTGAAAGAAAAACTCTTCCTTTGAAAAGCCTCCAGCAAGTGTAAAGATGAGACGCTTTGATTGAAGTAATTTGTTGAAACAAGTAGGGGTATGCATAATGCACAATGGTAAGACAAACATAGGGCAAATACAATGCTCTCAGTCAATCCAAAATACTATTGATATTCAAACTGGAATGAAGTGGAAAGTAGAAGCAAACTCTGTTGTTTTCTTTCTTCGGAATGGGCATGTATATTTGTACATTTTAACTTAAATTATCTCAAACCTTTTACAGTGATAAGGATTAATAAAAAAACAATAAAAAACAATTAAAACTATTATTCTCTGAAAATATTCAGTGACCAATGTATTTACCCCTTCTTTTGATTATATAAAAATAATCATTCTCAGTCCATTTAAGGACTTACAGATCTGAAGATAAATGTTCTCTACATCTGTAACTACAAGCTCCCCATAGGCAAGTCATACAGGTGTGTTGTCCTCATAAATCTCACACTAAATGAAGGTCCACAACATTCTCAGTCTCTTTTAAGTAAGATGAGAAGATGGGTTAGATTCACCTTTGTAGTCTTTGTTGTCTCAGACAGTAGGTGATGCATGTGATGCTGCATCATTCTTCATAAACATCACTTCCCCCCTAAAATGCATTTGCCTAGCCATGTTTTTACATTAGTCTTTAAAAATAGCTACATAGCACTGTTAATTTGAAAAATAATTAGAAAAATCCATAATCTAGTTAATCATTTCTTTGTTCTAAATACTGATTTAAATCATAATTCCTTACATTCAACTATAACTGGATCTATTTAGATTTTAAACAATAATTTATTAGAACACAGGGCGACTCTTATGGACAGAGCAATTTGACTAAGTTCACCTGCTTTTTTGTTGAAAATAATTGCCTTCTATGTTACTTTCAGTTATACGATGTCAATGTGATACAGACAAAAGTAGAAAAAAAAACTGATCCGTGGTTCAGTTCAACTTCTCTTTTTTGCAGTAAGATATTATGGCCAGTAGGGAGCAGCAGACCTACATCTCACCATTGAAAAAAGATTTCAATTTACAGGTAATCTAAAATGTTTCTCACAGGTTCACAGGCCAGGTAAACTACTGGCTCCTCACTGAGTAGCAAGAGTTGTGATGCATGCAGTACGCTTGCCATTCTACACACACGGCCATGAATATGCCTGGCAAACACTCACATTAAAGATATTAACACATTTGTGTTTGTTTTTTGATTTGTATCAAATTGCATTGGTAAATGTCTTTTTTTGCACCAGAAATCTTGACAGAGAAAAATGTAAAGAACAAAAACATTAAGAAGGAAATCTTCTATTGACTTCCTGCTGGATTCTGAGTCCTTTTTGTCCAGAAAGAATGAAGACAAAAGGCTTTTGTTTGCCCGAGTGAGGAGGCAAACTGATAGCCGACGACTGTGACATGCAACTTTTTGACAAAACTGATCCTAAACTGGATCAGAAAACACAAGAGTGAGAGAATACATGATGTAAGCCCAAGCAAAGCAGAAAACAGAGGGAAGCAGTTAATAGGAAGCAACAGGGTGACAGAGTAGACACAGGGTCTTTCATCCAGCCCACAAAGCCAGCCTTTCATGTGTAGAATTTTGCAGTCATTAATAATACATACAGCTGTATCCAGCTCAGTACAGCTGAGAGCGGGGGGTTAAAGTTTAGAGTTGAGAGCCGCAGTAACACATCTCAACTTCACTTCCTCTCCCAAGTCGATGGTTTGTTCGAATGAGCAATGTTGTCAGCTAACATACTTGTTTCACGGGCTGAAGCGCAAAAGGTTGCTTCAGGAGGCTGCAGCACTTTTGTGCAGTCTCCAGGCAGATGTGAGCATATTTGACATAACCAGATGTCATTGTGAATGTGCAGTGCAGCCGTCAGTGCGGTGGCTGGAGAAGGATCTCAGCAGCAATGTGGCTCCTGCTGCCGCCAACACAATGGGGGCAATTCATTTATTAGAATGAGAATGTGTGACTGCTTGCTTCCTCTAAAACGTCATCTTCTAGCGAAGAATTTTGGGAAGCTCTGAGATTCACTCAGAGGAGCCGAAAGCGATTGCATTTAGAGGGGTGTCTGCATTCAACTGTTTTCTGTACCATTTCCTCTTTCATCTAAAAAAAGAGCAACAACTTTTGTGACAAAGAGAAAGTGGAAATATTTGGTCAGCAAACCATAGATTCCATACAAATGTGAACACCTTGTTGGCATCTGTCAAATAGTACTGTAAAGGTGAGGACTTTGGCTTACTGTGCACCCACAGGGCCTGACCACCTTGCAGTCACTGAGTCAGCCACAAATAGTATATAGTATTCTAGTGGGAAATACAAGACCATCTGTATGACATCAATAGCTTGGCTGAAATGGGCTCGTGCAACAGAACAGTGAATCACAGCACAGCAGCAGATTGACAACAAAATCAGTCTACTGCACTGATCCTGTCAAGGTTCAAACCTCATACCTAACTGAAGTGCCTAGATAGAACATTAAAGAGAGCTGTATGTAGACAAATGTCGGAAAAGTCAAAGAACTAAAGCAACATTGTTATAAGTGACTAATACAATAACGCAGAAAAAATGATCACATAAAGTTGTTTGCAAGGATACAGAAGTTTTAAAAGTTCTTAATGACATTTTTTCAGCATAGTGCTTTTGTATTTCTGCTTTCTTTATGCTTAATAATTAATGTCCCAGGGTAATTAATCATAGATTGTTCACCTGAAGTTGTGTTAGTCTCAATTTAACGCATGGGAAGAACTAAATGATTTGGGCATTTCAGTTGTTTAAACGGGTGTCTTTTTTTCTCCTAACTCAACAAATTGTTCACTCAAATGAGCTGCAGTGTACAAACAGGGCTTTTGTCACAGCAGGCGTTTGGACATTTTGGTCACGAGAAGAAAACA